CGTTTCATGCATCACTATGCTCGTTTACGGACTCGGTTCGGTCGCCGGTTCATAATCACACCGCCGACAAAGGGAGAAACTTCCGCAAACAGGATAGTGGTTCGCGAATGTACACGAGAGCGTATTTCATTCTTGGCTCGGGCAATACACGTAGTCGAACGAGAGAATCGCGCTCGGAGCGGCCGGGGAGCCCCCTTTGTTTCGGCAATACGCGAGGCTAGCGCCGGGCAAACCGGAAGTTGCGGCCCGTCGAAGTCCGCGTAGCCAATCAAAGTTGTACGACATCGTTAAGCACGCTCCGGCGACCTCCTCGCGTTACATAACGGCATAACGAACTGCGGAGCATCCTCTGTCGGCTCTCGTCTCCCTCTTCCACGGAAATTCCGCGTCCTGTCGCGCGACACTCGATTCGCCGACGGTCGAGAGCCTGCTGCGAGCCACGAATAACAGTTGACGTTAATCGAGTCGGTCCGAGTTAGTCCTCCGAGCTTACATCCGTGTTATAAGTCGGCATCGAGCTGTCGTCAAAGAAACAGCACAAGTATCGGATATTAAAATACTTAGGCGCATCAACTGCCCCGTAAAGTATGTTCCATCGTGTCTATTTACTCGCGTAACAAAGGGATCTCTTCCCGTCGACTTGAAACGAATTAAGCTTAATGAAATATCCGACGACACGGCTTCCGCGGCGTATCATCGATGAATCGAGTCGCGTTTCGGATCGCCGAAGCATCGATCGTTCTCAACGCAGGCCCGGCGGCGCGACTAAACGCTGCCAGGAAGATCGAGGAGCACAGATTACCGATGTCGTAAAAAACACGTAGGCATCTACATATCGCTACACGCGGTAACGCTTGCAGCCCAGCATCCGCGCCGCCCCAACCTACGGTTCGGTAACTGCTTTTGGCCTCTAGCCGCAGTCCGCGATAAATAACCCGGTAAAACCGAGGCTGAACGTTTATCGCGAGTAGTGATTTGTGGAAACGGCGGCCTGACGGCCGGCCGCTCTCCATCGGAATCATTTCCTTCCCCCGCCGTTTCTTTGTTAGCGACGTTACGACCTCGCCGGGTTTTCTTTTCCTCGGCGACTCGACGGGCCGAGGATTGCCCGTGGAAATTGCGACGCGGTTACCGCGTCCCGCGAACGGCGCAAACACTTCCGTTAAAAGCAGCTTTCATAGCGGCGGAGTCGGCGATTAACGGTAATCCGGCGAATCTTTAATCCGGCCGACCCAATTTCCCCACCCGATTCCCGCCGGAATATTCAGAATCCGTCAGGGCTTCCGTTTCCGCGAGTGCGTTCACTCGACGGCCGCTCGACAATTGAGTCGATAAAGTTGTCGCTAATTGGATAAAGGCTCACGGAACCGTCGCACTTAGCAACAAACTCGCGACAATTTCGGGGGCGCGCGTCTCGGGGGACGGGGTGTAAGGAACGCCGGGAAATTCGAGGGAAAACGGGAAGTTGCCATGCGACTGCAGCATTTTGAGGGCCAGCGAAAGTGCGAGTGCTCGAGCCGTGGAAACGGAGACACTGTGTCGGGGCAGTGTCCTTCGTTAACGATCTCAATGCTCGCGAGTAGCTTGCGGATGATAGAACTGCAAACGGGGGACGATCGCTTCGGATTAAACCTTGCAATCGCACGAAAGAAGGTTCACGGTGAAGATAATAATGAAAAGCTGCGTAGAATCTATTCAACTGGAAATGTATTTCAACGGAAGAGCATCTCACAGGTGAACGCGCAGCGTATACATCGTTTATTCGAGTACATTGTACGAGTCCAGTGAAATATCTTTCTCGTAGATCGAACAACCGTGGCGGTTCCCTCGAATATCTCGAGTAATTTCTTAGGGGGGCGGTATCGATTCGCGATAGCCGGCGTGTAATGTTTCGCGGAGTTATCCTGTTACGCTTTCGCTATTGGCTTACACGTATCTGGCCATCCCCGCGCGTCTATCGCGCCGGTAACTCGGCGTGGCGGACCGAGTACACCGGAGATTCGATCGAGATTTGTGCGGCCAGATGAGAGCACGCGTGTACGCGTGTATACACGTTTTCGTACGAGCACAAATATGTGGTATGGCACATGGCACGGTCCGGTAATGGAAGGTAGGAAATAGCTTTCCGGCAAATGAACACGCGCTATGCCTCGCATTCCAGCCGGGTCGACGGCAAGCCTGGGGAACGTAGGGCCGGAGGATGGGCTGGAACGAGACGGAACGGGACGGAACGGGACGGAACGCGACACGACGGTTCTCGTGCAACTGAACAGATCGTTAACCACGCGACACGACCGATGCCATTGACCTATTCTCCTTTCCCTTCAACTGGTAGTCGCCGATTCTGCCTCCGTCGTTCCGCGACTTGACGATCCTTGACCGCGAATCGTTTCTTAACGCCCGAACTGAAAAACATTCCGATTGATTCCTGAAAATTCCCAAGATTCCACTTAAGAATCCGAGTCATCTATATTCCTGTAAATCAACTTTTTCAATCGCTCCCAGCCTGAAGCGTCCTTAGCTTTTCGCTTTGAAACTTGCAGCGACGTTATTTCATTCGATGAGCAGTTCGACATCGGCAATGATCGGAAATAGTCGCTTGCTGGTCAGCAGTGGTGAATAAAGGTAGTCCTCGCGTTAGAATCGACGTCGTCTGGAATCGTCGTTTCTCTAAAACTCGTCGATCCATCGCGACGCGTTCGAACGGGCGCGATCAGTTATCAGCGGCGCGTCGTTTCTTTTGCCAGCGTGAGGCTTGTCCATCGGCGTCGTAATCCTCGGGCAGATTTCCCGATCGTTAGAGCGGTCGTTGTCGTACGCGGCACGGAGTCGCGGGTGTAACGAGCCGCGCGAGGAACGCCGGTACGAGCCGTGTCTGATGAAGCACGTATCGTTACCACTGACAGCGCGAGGCCGACGTTGATGGATGCGAGCCTGTATCGTTAGCTACGGTAAACCGTACAGTTATGGGCCGCTTTATAACAATAATGGTCGACCATTTTCACGGGGACGGGGAGGGGGAGAGACACACTCGATCGTGCAAGGAACATCCGCAGCCGTTCCGTCACTGGATTATGCTAAAATATGGAGGCGATTCGCGCGATAGACGATTCTCTTTTTTCGGTTCGGGAAAGGCGGCCGCGCTAACGATATTTACATATGCACGGGAATCCCCGACGGTATTTACGGGCAGCAGCCTCCGTTTGTTCTACCCGCGGAACGTGAAATTTTATTGGAGTGTTTACGCGGTTTAGAAGAACAGTGGGAACGAGAGGGGGAGGGGGACGGCGAAACGAGGGAATCGGGTAAACGGGGAACGCCCGTGAACTGTAGCCCCGCGTAAATAACTCCGAAGCTATTTACAGGGTTGCTCCGCGGGTTATGACCGGTATATACCGACGTGGCTGAAACGTAACGGGTACGGTGACCAGGTGTCTGGAATTTGCCCAGAATTATTATCAACGTTCTAGACGTTTTCCGGCATTAGCCGTTCGCCGGAACGCGCAACGCGCAACGCCTGTACTTAATGGAAGGCATTTGAATTTTAGTCCACCGTTAGCCTACGCCGTTATTACAAGATTATTCCGATCCCGGCCGGCGTTCCGCATCCGCGAATTGATTCTTCGCCGCGGGGGAATGCCCGCCCCCTTGGCCGAGGTACGCGCTATTGAAACCGAGCATCGTCCCTGGCGAGAATTCAGAATAAAGGTTGATTAGCGGACGGAGCTTAACGTCGTTTCCCTTTGATCCCAGGATAATTACATCGAGTGGCGTTTGCCCGGGCTATCGAGAAAGTGGTTTTATCCGATACGAAGGCAGCGGTCTGCGGGAATCCCGTATGTATTTATTAGCCAGCGAGTACGCCTTTTGTTCCTCGTATTTGTTTCTATTTCGCGTACACGTAGCGTACACGCGTCGAACGGAAAGATACCGGTTTACCGGCTCGGGATTTCGTCTGTCGTCTTTTATTTAACGGTTCGCTGCGCTGATCAATTGAGCCGTCCGCAGTGCCGCGTCGGTTTTTTCCTCGGAGTTTGCCGGGGAATCGCTTAACCGGTTGCGGGACCGGCAACGAAATCGATTCGGTAAGTTGTTGGTTCTGCGGAGATTCCTGAGAGCCGGAACGGGATGGGATTATACGTCGGACTAATGCCAAATTCCTACATATATGCGTGCGCTGGAAACGAGGATAATAGCGGATGCATCGAGTGGCCGATCAGACGCGCGGTCGTAAATAAACGGATAACGATAGCTCGTATCTGTATCAGGCGAGCAGACGTTTCTGGCTTACGTTATGCAGGTAAACGTTGCCAGGACAGATTGGATGGCACGCAATTTCGCGCTAAGGCTGACTATGCCTCGTTCGCGCCCGCCGTTGGCGGGAACGGGCGGCGCGGCGCGTCACGGGAATCCATCGAATCGAATTAGTCCGGAATCATACGAGCCGCGCCGCGGAACGTATTACCACGTTAGGATTCCCAATGAAACGGCATCGCGTCTTTGCCGTGGCCGCGCACGCGGAAGCTCCCAGCCCGCCACAGTAGTTGATTAACAATGGATAGACGCGTATTGAACGCATCGCGGCGCGTCATGCAAATGCGTCAAGCCAAATTGCGTGTCTTACGGCACGGTTGATCGAGAGCTTGTAATCAACGTTGGGTTATTTGTGCCGATGTCTCTCGCCGTTCGATCCTTCCGACGCGAACGAGTCGAAATTTCGACTGCTGTCTACTTCGACGGATATCCGTCTTCGAAGAAAACATTCGCGTCCGAAGGAAACGCGAGCGTTCCATCCGTGCACGGCGTTCCTCTTTCGCCGAGCTCCGCGTTGCGCGATTCGAGAGCCGGGGGAAATGAATTCGAAAAATTCGGACACGGACGGTAAACGCGAACAGCGGAATCCACAGGTTGGGCGAAATTACCCCTCGATACCGGTATGCGAAAATATTTGGAAACGCGTCCATTTCAGTTTAATCGCGATGTGTGTACTCACAGTGCACTTTGAGCTTCCACCGTTCCTCTATCCCGGCCTCCTGCAATTTCGGATTCGTCGCTCGGCACACTAGGAACTTTCCCTCGTCTTCTATCGACGGTGTCCACTGCAGCATGCTCACGCTGGTCCCATCCTCCTGAAACTAACAGAACCTCGTTGCAATAAACAGAAGATCGAAATAGATGAAAGTATAACGGTACCTCTCTCGAATCGAACGAACGAATGTTCTTGATGTACTTTTTTAGACGACAATCGAACTATTTCAAGCTTGCCTCGCGAATGATCATCCCGCGATTAAATTCCGACGAAATGTCAGATTACAGCGAACGGCCGCGCCAAATCTCCATGACAATCGGTGTCGGCCGGCAGAACTGACAACATGCTAATGTCCCCCGTTTTCGCATCTTTCGTACTGTCGAGCGTTTCCGTCGGTCATTGTCCCTTTCATTGTTAATCGTCGCGCCAATTACCGTGGTCCCGAACCCCCATTGTCGCGAAATAAATTCTTCCTCCGGATCGTTGAGCGACGAGCGGCGGGCGCGCGAGCGCTTGGAATCACGATTGAAAAAAAAAAGTTTGCAACGAGTAGATAGGAGTTATCCCGGCGAATAGCCATATCGAACGAAAACGAGCGGCGCGGCTCGGTTCGTCTCGGCTCTGCTCGGTTCCGCTCGACGTGGCGGGGTGCGATGTCATGCGAGGAATTTCGAATCCCCTCGAAAACGAGCCGAAACGTTTCTCCGGTGAATTTATGGCGACGGCTCTGGCCGAAATTTCGAGATCGTTATTCATGCAGACTCGAGAATGGTAAATATGCGGGGGTGTACCGTACCAACTGACTGCCTTCGCTGCGCGCTGCTCTCCGTCATCCCCGTCTCCCGATTATTCTTCTCTGCCGCCGGAAATAATGGCGGGCTAATGATCACGCGAAAAATTGAAACGCGCGGCTGACAGCCGCGGACAGTCGATGCGACTCGGCGATTTTGAATTCGAACTATAACGGTAACCAAACATTGGAAGGATATTCAGTTTGCACGGCGATTGGTATCGCACGGTTCGCAATGGTAGACGAAACCTGCTTGCGATTAATTTACACCGGACGGCGGTCACCGAAAAAGTCGTTAAACATTCACTGGACTCAAAGCCGGGAAATCCGCTGCCGCTCTTTCCCCTGGAGAAAACCGATCGATTTTTCCCACGGATTACTCGCGCGGTTTGAACCTGGATTATTGCGAGGAGCAGTGGATCGGAAGATTGTTTTCCTTGTTCGATCTGTCAGTCGTTATTTTGCACGATCCAAGTTGTCCAGAATCTTGATCGCGACGTTAAATCGCAACGTTTCTTCGGAGGAAATTTGCGTGTGCAGCGAATGCAGTAATCCTGCGCTGGTTTCCTCGGAACTGTTCGTTGAAATATTTGACGGTGGAAATCTATTGTGCGAAGGGTTGTTAATGTTTGCAACAAGCTTCTTCTTAAGCGCCCATTTATCTAGATTATTGGTCATCGAATTAGATGAAATAATCGAGGTTGCGCCGTGTATCGTCCACTCGAGTCGCATTAACCGTACAGAGGTCGTGGAATTCGCCATCGCTTCGGGTATAAGCGAATGCGTAAAAGAGAAGAAGACGAGCTGGTTGGCAGTAATTCTCGGTTAAAATATTCAGAAGGGTAGCACGTGCGCGACTCGCGAGGAATCTCGGGTACCTTGCGCGACTCTGGGCGGCGAGGCACGGAACGCGGGTGTCATTCGCGCGATAAAACTCCGCTGGATAATAACCAGTCGTGATAAAGTCTGCGAAACTAATAATACGCGAAACTGCGACGAACTCCGGCTTAAAACGCGAATCCGCGGGGAGAAGCCAGCTGCGTCGCGATACGACGTGAAAATCGGTCCTCGGAGATAAATCTGGACCCGCGTGCCAGGGACCTCTGGATTCCGAATATCCCCGTGCGCCATTAAAAACCGGGAACCGTTCTCGTCGCAGGGAAACCTTTGCCTCTCGTTTTCCATTTCCGCTCTATGAAAATTAGTCCGGTATCGGGCAGCCGCTCGGAATACGCGAGAAAGAAAGCGCGCGGGATATTCGAGCGGACCAGGCGCGTAGACATGATTATACAGGCTTTCTAAAAAGGCTGGGACCAAACTTGTGCTGCTTGTCACGGAGATCGAATAGATGAAAATTCTTATGCCCTAAACTGCTTTATTGGGGAGACATTTGGAATTTATTGCAGTAGTTATGAGAATAATAATTCGGACCTTATAATTATACCTTATAATTAAAAATAATTTAATTATATTATATTACATATATATTTAATTTAAATATATGTATTATACCTTCGTATAATTAACCCTTTGCACTCGAGTGGTGACTGAGAGTGACCTTCATCGAATCATCACCAGATTTGACACAGTAAAACTATAAAATCTGATATGTAGTCTTAAAGAATATCGTCTTCGTCTTGTCAAAATATGTTAAATATTTCTAGTGAGAAACTCCCGGGTGCAAAGGGTTGAGTCTTTTACGAGTGAATGTTTTTTAGACGATAGGACTGACAGTAGAGATCTCGAGGCCATAGGTCAGGACACGTAAACGATAACTGTCACTCGGTAGAGTAATACGTATACGATTCTGTACAACGAATTGAAACTTTCTTCATCTACTCGACACTAGTAGTGCGTAGTACAAGTTTAGCTCGAATCGTTTTGGGCAGCCTCTACATTCCAATCGCGATTCTCTCGGGGAAGAGATAAGATTCTTCTTCTAGCCCTTCTAACCGCGAAAATCGTATACACGATCCAGCGATAGCGCTCCTTAGCGGAAATCCTGTTCGATCGGTCGCGCATCCTCGCCCGTAGCGATACGAGAAAATTGTACGGATATCGACGTTGGAATTTATTACTCCGAGGGACTCGAAGAGCTCGCCGCCTTGTAAAAATCTCCAAGATTTCCCAATGCGAACGTTCGGCTGCTTTCCTCTGCGTACCGAGTAATTTTCCTTTGTTCGCGTGGTTTGCGAAGGTACCGCGTCCCTTCGGACGCGATTCTACGAGCGGTGAACAGGCACGGGGCAGCGAGAGACGCGATTCGCGAGTTTTATCGACGGATGGAGCACGGAGGGAGCCTCGAGCCCGACTATTCGCGGATCGCACGGCACACGGACGCGACGAGTCGTTCCCTCCGTGACTATTATTATCGCAGTTTCGCTATTACTCCCGCTGTCACCGTCTCCAACTGGAAGTACGACGCGGAACGATGTTCCTCGTCCCAACTAATGGATTCTACAAATTAGGCGGCGCCAACTCCGGGCGTCGCGGTCGCCGGTGGTATCGTTTCGAACAACGACGACACGTTAGACAGCCTCGAGACGGCTCCGCGATTCAACGCGATACGTATCATCTCAGTTCGCCGAGATTCCCCGCGCCGATTCTCGACGAACCGCGGACGTGTCTTCGTCCGAGGACGAGGCACACTCGAGAGTGTTCCGTCGCAGCGTCCCTTTAAGTTTCATCGTTTGCCTTCCGCATTGCCTTGTTTACGATTAAGCCCTCCGCGCGGTAGAGTACACGTCGACGACGTCTACTTCGATACCTAGGTTCCGCGATACGTGTCTCGACACGTGAAGATCGGTCTCAGAAATCTTTGTATTTTCCTGTGCGATCGTCGCGATCTATTGTTGAAGCTACCAGCGAAGTTGCGGTGGACGGTAAAATGAAATGACACGGGTCTCGCGATAGCTGATATCGATGTACGTATCGGCGACACGTATCATAATGCGTAACGACGTTTACAGCGATAACGCGCGATCTTTCCCCCGTCCTCCGGAAAAGCGGAACCCGTTTGCTCGGTTAAACGGTTGAAGTTTCGCTCGTTAGTTCCACTTTATTCGGACCTTTGATCTCGAAGCTGCGACCGTTTCATCGAATCACAGCTGCCTGCGCAAAGATACCGTTCTGTGCCGCCGACGCAGCCGGTTTCGTTTTATTTCGGTGAACCACTCGTGTGCCGCATTCGCGTTTCCGAACCCATTCGAATCCTCTCGCCCGTGTCGGCGGATCCGGGAATTCCTTCCTCGATTATGTCTCGATGCCCCCGCGGCATTATCTACAATTATTAATTGCACGACTGGATAATTGTGGATCCCGTTAACGACACGTTAACTGGCGGTTGTCCGCGGGATCGGACGCGCGGAATCGGTGACATTCATCGATAGACCCGTTATCAATCCGGTTGCTCCCAGATGGTTCGATAGCAATTACACGGACGCACCCGATAAATTATTATCAAGCTGTCCGTCATTCCCATGAAACTATTAATCCACTCGCAACGGCAACATTCGCCGGGCGATAAATCATCCCGGGACTCTTGCGTTTTCTATACGCATCGATTTCCGGCCGACGTCGCGGTATTAATTTCTTCTGGCCTTTAAATAAATCACGTGGCGTGCCACGAATTCCCAGCTTTCCTCGCGTCCCGACTTTCTTCCAATTCCTTAATGGTCCCGCGCTTCTTCTTCCTCCCCCTTTCGGTTCGTGGATTTCCTTGCTCGCGCTCCCCCGCGAGCAAGTTACGAATCCGCGGAGGTACTTCTTCCGCGCTGTCACTTAAACGTCATTCCCCCGGGAACGCGGCCGCCTCTTCCGCAAATATCCGCCTCGCCCTGCCGAGAGGGCGGTCGAAAGGAAAATTTCTGGCGTTTTTCTATCCGGAAGTATCGCTACGGTGAACTCGATTTCGCGTTTACGCCGAACGCTATGCGAAATTTCAAGCCTCCTCTTCACGTTCATCCCCCGTCAACCTCCTGCCTCGCGATATCCACGAGCGCCCATCTTTTCCGCTGTTTAAGCACACCGCAAAAACCTTTATTCCGAAACGTTGCTCCTCCCGCTTTCGTGCCCCGGCAGCCTCGCGTTCTTGCACCTTTTAGTAGCGAGGCGTTGCCTTTTCCCGCTGTGTACCTACTTGAAATATTTACGCCAAATTCTCCTGCGATGGAGAGGGTCTAATGAAAATATTTCTTTTTCATCCTCGTCGGTTTAAACTGTCGGTGCATCGTTGATGCGTCGGCTGGCACGAGAATCTTGAACGTTCCGCGTATCTGTCGCTTGTTCGTCCGTGGAAAGGATGCATAAAAATCCTGTAGTCCGTTGTTAAATTGTCTTGCCCGACAATAGCCGCATTAACGACGTTCGGATTCGTTGGTCATTGATGAACCATCAATGCGTCGATCGTTGTTCTCCCTCGTCTCGCCGTTCGCCTCGACGAGCGTTCCGCGGCGTGAAAAACATGAATTCTTGGCGTCCCACAGGCTCCCGCTCGGCACGACAGCGATTCGTCACCGAATTCCCGACGGTGCGGCGAAACTGTTTCGGAAACCATTTCTGTAGCAAGCCTCGTCCCAGAGGAAGCCCTGCAAAGACGGCGACTTCACACTGGTCCCGACATGCTCCGATGTCTGGGGATTCTCTCCGAAGCATCTCTGCGACGCACGCTGAATTTTTCCCCCCGTTGATCGTTCCGTTCTTTGTCTTCCGTCCCGGAGGACTCTATCGATCTCATTATCCACGACTTACAACCGACCCGGGAATATAAGAGGTTCTTTTAAAGAGCCATCCAATTGTCGTTCAGACGCGGCTGATTTATCCGGATCCGAACGGGTGAAACAAAGAGATTACAACATTTGTTAAGCGCAAATGTTCCCGAGGCTTCAGTTCGGTTTGGTTTCCCTGTGGCGAATATCGGATGCACTTTTCATCGATTTCCAGCCGAGCTTTTGAATGCGAACGCGACGATGTCACCAGAATGGAGGCACGCGCGCGGTGGGAGTTGGCTGCGGAATTTCGAAATATTTTCAAGCGCTGCTCCTTCTCCGGAACGTAAACTCCCGCCTCTGTGCCCCCGCGGAGCGGGCAGATCGATAGACGCGCGGTTCCCGGGAAAATTTGAGAGGTTTCGTTTCGGGGGATTCGAAATTCGAGCCGGCGACCGCGAAAACAGGCTCTCCAAGATTAATTCGTAAGAAGCGGAACGCTTCGGAAGTTACGGGCGACCGTGTCGCTGGCACGCCACCACGCCTGCCGCATTGTGTTTCCCGTGCTCCTTTTTCCCCCCTTTTCTTCTTTTACCCCTTTGTGCCCGGCTCCTCGTATTTCGCCGAGATGTACGCGCGGTTCGTGATTTTTAGAGCGCGCCGACCGACCCACACATCCGTTCCTCGGCCGCGACGGTTAAGCTACGTGTCCATTTAAGAGCGAAACTGTCGCGAGCACTTCTGGACAGCGATTCCTGCCAGCGGACACTGCTCGCGGAGAGATACCAGTTTCACAATGCTTTCGGATGGTCGATCCCGACCGAGTATTTGCTCGGGAAAAACCTCTCGAGAGCGCGACTCGCGATAGTTTCGCTGTGTAACGAACGCCGCGTACCTCAACGGCGACGGATCGTCAGCGACATTTTGCGCCGCTGTCGAGCATACTCGCGACGAGGATTACGAGAGGGCAGCGTGCCCCATTGAAAGTTGCGATCGGAAAACTTGGGAAAAATCTCGCGGCACGCGAGTCATTCGATATTTTCTTAATGAAAATCGATCGGATCCTCGTACGCGCGCGGGGACATCTATTCACCTGTCCGTCGGCGCAAAGTTTGCGCGGACGACGTCGAATCTTCGTAAACCGATTACTTACCGTGAAGATTTCTCCCGCGGGAGACTCGCGTCGCCGGCAAGCGCGCGTTTGCCACCGCCGGCAGGGAAATTTGTAACGGACCTCTGTACGTCGTTTTTCGACGCGACGGCCGGGACGTTCACATAATTAATTTCGAATGTTTCGCTCCGGTAACGCTTCATCGCCGGGTAATTAATCGAGTAATTAATTTTTGGTGGGCAAAGTTTGCCGGCAGTTTAGACGCGCTATTTTCTAGCGGCGTGAATGATTAAATTAGCGAGCCCGGGCCATACGAGGCGTGGGACCGCTTCAGCCGTTTCCATCTATCCGATAACTACGCCGTATACGCCGTGGGTACAACGTCGTTACACTTTTCATCCGGAATTCATTTACCCGCTTTAATATCGCGGCCGGTGAACCGGCGAGGGTTCCAGCTAATTTCGTCGAAACAGCCCGTCGTCTCGGAGAGGGCTCAATTCGGCGAGGGCGCCCCGCGAGACGCCTAATCTCGACGGAAGTACCGGCTGCGGATCGAACCAGCTTTTCCTTGTCCTTCTCGTTACGCGTTTGATCCTTTCGGGCTCAACGGTGCCCGACTCGGCTCGGCTCGCCTCGTCTCGGTATCCTGCCTCGCGTCGCTATTTCCCCGTTTCGAGCGGGTAATCGATCCCCGGATTTAATGGCTCGAAAGTTGCTCGATACGAGGATCGTATCGGGAATAAAGGGAGAAACGAACGCCGCCCAGAAACAAATTTATTCCCGGAATCCCCGTTCCGATGTTGTCGTTCTCGAAGCTTATTAGTTCCCGTTCGGGGTTCGTTATCGAGCGCGCGTCATTTTTATTCCCGTAAAGCCCGGCGGAATGGTTTCTCGACGGAACGAGCTTCCGCCGGGCGAGTATCAATCATCCGAAGCGCTCGGTTCATCGTGGAAACACCGCCCGACTCTTTCTCCCTTTTCCCGTAATTTTTCGTTCCTCTGTTCCGCGCGGAGAGCCGCGTCTGTCGCAAGTTTTCTTTTTCTCCCTCTCTCTCTCTCTCACCCTCTGTGTGTTTGTCTGTCCGCGGAGAAGAAAACGACGGAACGGCCCTTCGCGGCGCCGACGCGATAACGATTAAGCATCGCGAGATCGTGGAATGGAATCGAGTCGAGCGAGAGCTCGGCGACGATTCGCGCGAAGATTCTAATCAGCTGTTACTCACGTTTTTGATCGTCCCCTTGAGCTGCTTCGAGGCTTTCCACCAGGTTAAATCGGCCGGCGGCTTTGATCCCGTGCTCTGACATCTGGTCTCGTACCTCCTGCCCGCCGATAGGATCTTGTCCTTGCCCATAATTTCGACTTTCAGCGGCTTCACTGGAAGCAGATATCGAGAAACGCATCTGTCAAAGGATTGCTTTACAGTACGCGCCCGTTCGGGAGTAAAATAATCGCGGCTCGCTGTCGCGAGCACTTCACGCGAGTAGATACCATCTCGAAGGTAACGAAGAGTTCGACGGTGCTCGAGGGGGTATCCATTTGCGCGCGACGCTTTCGAGAGTAACTCGCGATAGTTTTACAGCGGAATGGACAGCCAGCTTTCGGTTGGCACGGTGGAACGGTCGGGCAACAGGCAGATGGGCGGGAACGCGTCGCGTCCCTGGCCGGTTGACCGGTGTTCGATCCAAGTGTCCCTCGTTTTTCCTCGCTGGAAACGGTCGGGTAAAGTTCGCGACCGCCGACGATGACGAAGAAGTATAAACGATCCTCGAGCAGAGTTGAAACGACAATGCCAATCTCTAAACTCGACGCGTATGCGCGCGAACCTGGTTAATCCGAGAGCGCGGAATGCATGGCCGCGATAAGGATTATCGAGCGAATGGTCGAGACCTCCGCCCGCTTCGAACGGCCCCTCGGATTTCTTCCCTTATCTTCGAGAATAAACTGCGAGTGCACTAAGGAGTTATCCGAGGAGAGCCAGACGGAGGCTTATTAAACGAAGCGGACGCGATAGCGGAATTGAAGAAGGCCAGCTGGACCGCGGCGAAAGATCCATCGCAGGTTTCCTAAGGAGAACACTCGTTCGCGGAACTTCCCGGCTAGACCCTCGGAAAAGTGTTTGAATGGCGGTGTCGAGACGGGGCACGCTCAACTTTTCCTGTCTCGGGGTTCTAATACTTTGTACTTAATAAGTCGCTGCTAATTATTCGACGTTGTTTCGCCTCTGGCCCCGGAGGAGTTTTCAATTTTCGACCGGAAAACGAGAGAAAAAAAAAGCGGCCTTGATAATTACTCCCCTTTGTCCCGCGACAAGCCTCTTCTTGCGCCGGAATGAGCGCCCGCCGAATCGAGCGGAGTCGCGTAATGCCGGCCCGCTGCATTCCACGGCGGATCTCGTTAACGGTAGCCTTCCAGCGGCAGTGTACGGTTATTAATTGGATGACGAAATTGTGGCCCGGAGTCTGGCCAACGGGAAAATAACCAAGTATTAATTAAACGTTCAGCAACCGTCCGCCGATGCGCGGTAACGGCCGCCCCGTTGCTTCTCGTTAGCAGCCCGCGATAATTCGCCATTGTTCGCGACGGCTAAATCATCCGTACGCTTGAAGTCGCGGAGGGCCGAATCTTCGGAGCGGGTCGATCGACGAGATTCAGGGTAACCGGCACGTCGGAACGCGGAGTGGTCGCTACCGCGAGCGAGCGCGTCGCTTGGCAGAAAACTTTCCGCTCCGGCTCGTTACGAGGGCACGGTTCGTTTTGCCTTTAGAAAGATTCTGATCGCTCGGCAACTTCTTCGGCTTCGGCCGACGGAGATAAATACGGCGGAGGGGCGGGCATGCCTCGCTTGCACCGCGAAAGATTTCCAACTTTTCACTGATCCGTGCAAGACTCGGGCGAAACTTTCCTCGGACGTAAATTCGCCGCGTTAGCCGAGTCCGCGGCCGGTTTGAATAACCGTAGTTATGTCTTTCACCGTGACGGGTGTGCAGATATTCAAGCGGATACGGTTCCTAGGCGGCGAGAGTTCGCGGTCTCGCGCGCGTTCATTAGCGCCGATTCGATTGGGAGGGACCGGGATCGATCGAGGGACAGGCGAGAGATCGACGTTCCGCTTGGAACGACGCGTTTTATCGGCGAACGTTTAGCCCGACGGAAACTACACTCGCGCACGCAATTATGCCGGCCGCGTTTCAGCATCGAGCACGCCCACTCCACGTAAACACCGTTATCCTATAATCTGCGAGACATGAAATTCTGTTTTTGCTATGTGAAGCGCGCGAGGCAATTTCACGTGCAAAATTTTCATTTAGCGGCGCGGTGAACAAAAACCGAGCGAAACGGAAGGAGAAACTTCGCGTTATGCAGCGGGCCGAAACGACGCGCGTCGCCGTAGCCCCGGTTGAAATCTGTGTCAGACCCAGACTACGCTCCGGCGAACTTTTTTGTTCTCCCCAGTGTGTGTCCACAATTTTGATGCGCTTACCGATCCCGACAGCTTCGCGTGTTTCGAGACAGCGGCCCCGTTCGCTGTCCAAACAAAAACTTTCCTCATTTCGCGCGTCTCCCCGGAAATGAAACCAAGACTCCCGTCGATTACTCGCGTCTTTTTTCCTCTCTCGTTCATCTGTTCGGAGCGGGACGATTTTTTCAACGAGCCGGCCCGGCGTCCACGCTCGGCACGCCGACGCTACCCGCGATCCCAATCTGAAATCGATGAGCATAGGTCCGAGGAGAAACGGGGGACCGGGAAACTGGAACGAAGGGAGAGGCGGAAAAAGAACGAGTCGACGCGTCCGTTACCTGCAACTTATTTCGCTTACAATCTTGATAACGATGATGCCTCGGAAAAACTTTCCGAGACGTACGGAAAGCGGGAACACCCTCTTACGCGTCGCGTGTACAAACATATATATCCCGTAAAAACATCCAACGAGACTCCGCTCTGCGTTAGTTTTACTTTTTCCACGCGAAGTACGAAATTGGGATCGGCGCGGACGCGTGACGCTGCCGGCGAACGCGTTAAATACGACGGCGGAACGCGGTAGGAAAGAAGCGTCCGAGTAATTGGAATTCGCAGGGAACGCGGGCGAAAACAAAAACAGCCGGAAAATTACCGGCGCCGGGGGACGGGGCAAAACTTAAAATTGAAATTTGTAAATCAAATTCCGCGACGTCGCCGCGGCGGATCGGCGGAAACTTTGAGCGGCCTCGGTTCAGCTCACAGATAATCTTCGCGCTCCTCCCGCCGGCGCGCGGTTCCGTCCCTGTCTCCCGTAATTCGCGCTTTAAATTCATTCGGAACCCTTTGTGCCGCCGCCGACGGAGGGGGAGGGAGATATGAAATCGGGCCGCGAACGAGGGGAACCGACGTTTTTCCGTGCGTCGCTCCTCCAGCGTATTTATGCTTTTAATATGTTTCGCGGTTGGTGTGCTCGGTGACGGGCGAATAATGCGCCGCGGGCGAGCGAGCGAGCGAACGGGCGAGAATCGCGAGGGAAAGAGCGGAGCACCGGCGGGAGTAGTCGACGAGGGGCACGGAGGACGAGCGGGGCGCGCAAAAAGAATCCCGAGCGAAGTTTAAACGGCTCGTTTGTAGGTTAAGTCGGTTAGTCCTGGAACGAGCGAGCATTACGGAACGGGCCGTGTACGCCGATCTTGCGAATCGTCGACTTAAGTGAAATTGACTCGAGCCACCGGTGGCTGGGCTAAGTGATATTATTACCATGATTTGGCAGAGCGTCCACTCTTATCGTTGCGTTCTAATCGAGGAAACTGTTAACCGCTTCTTTCGCTCCATTCAAACGAATTGCCGACTTTGCGCGCCTTTTCAATAAACGGCCGACTTAAAGCTGCCGCTTTATGTAAAAGATTTGTTACCCTCCTCGTTCAACGGAACGGAATTACCGAGCGCGCAGACTTCATTCTATTTTTCTAGAGGAATCACGAAACTGCGTTCACCCGAGATTCGTTGATTACAGTGGTTCGGTGATGCTTCTGAGAAGCAGCTGCACCTTTTTACCGACTGTAAAGGAAGAGAGCAGAAACGGGTCAGCCCGAGGTAGCCGCTAGATTTATCTCGGTCTGTATTTAACTCGGTTCTTCGAATTTAGCATCGAAGAATCGTTTCTGTTCTAATGATATCTTTTTACCCTCCCCTTCCCGGGAGTTATTATCGAACGCGTGTCCGGAATAGATTGCCGATTAATCGCGGGGAACGTTTATCCCGCGAATAGACGGGGATAACCGAAATTATTTGTTTTCCGCGTCTTCGTTATCGGAGAGCGAGTTACGAGGACGAAGTTCAGCTCGTCTCGAGAGTAGTTTAAACCCCTTCGTTCTTGCACGCGTTCGCGGAGGTACTTTCGAGAGTCGTTACCCCGTTCGCGACTCCGTCAACCCACAAACGCCTCGAGTTTCCTTTCCATTCGCAAAACCGTGTTCGCGTTTCCCGAGGAAACTTCGCCCGGACCGGGGGGAGATCTTGATTTTTCAAAGTCCGGGGACCACGGATCGAGATTTCCTTACGTACACGGTGAGACCGTGTTCCTTCCCGGTTAGTTCGCGACGTTCGCATAAAGAAGGTCCGCGGATTTTCATACCAATTAGGAAAGAACCGATGACGTCCGGTCGGCGGGCGACTCTTCGCCGAACGAGAGTTCTTTGTTGGTTGGCCAGAAAGATCCTCCCGGGCTTGTTACCGGGTCGGGTCGACCGGTTTTTTCGGGACAAGTTCTCCGATTCTGTGCGCTAATGAAAACGAACCACTTCCGGGGAACGTTCGAGGAAAAAGTATCCTGTAATTTACGGTCGTTACTTTCTATACTCGCGGTACGGTTTTCGCGTCGCGTAACGGCCTTGTTAAATCACCAAATTATCGGCCGTCGCGAATATCGAATTTAAAAGGGTGGCTGCCGGCAAGTTCGCGGAGCGGCATCCGTCTTTCGAGTACACCCCCCAGATGCACACAAATATGCAAACGCCGCCTGTTCGAACGGGAATGGGGAAAAAGTCGGTGTGCGGGCTGCTTGCATTTTCAGTCGACGCGGCGCGCGCGGTGTCGCGCGTGCACACCGACTCGTTAGACTTTCAAGCGTATCGATCGAGGGTTCTGCAATTATTCGATGTACGCTTCGCCTGTCGTTTCCAATTAGACCAAGATTCGCGGAAACGAGGAGGCCTCCTCGCGATCCCTATTCCGGTCATTGTTCCCGCGAAAGAGCAGCCAGACGGTCCGCCGGAATCGATCGGAAAACAGCTAATTTTCGGTCCCGTTCCGGTTCCCGTCGTCTCGCATCCGCACAAAAGAATTTCGTATGCGTGGAGCGTGAACCGTGAACCGGCCCGCGGCACTTTGTCCGCTTCCGCATAACAAACGGACGTGTATCGGCATGAATTATTCCCGTTTCGAGAGACACTCGTCTCGCGATAGCTCGCCGCGCGCCCGCGACGGGAAACGCAACGCGCGGTTCGGAAATCTTTTAAAAGCATTAAACGAAATACCTACGTGCTATCGCTGTCTGGTTAAATGCTGCAGACTCCGGATAATGGTATTAACATGGATAGAACGACCGGGCCTTTTAACGGGAACGCGGGGAACCTCGTAACCGTTCGTTAAGCTCCCTTCAACCATGCATATATATCAGGATGAAAAGTTCTCAAATGTTCCGTGTACCGATCCGCGTTACTCGACCGAACTCGGTGTTCCCCACCGTCGAGCAGCCATGAAATATTTATGCAAATATTTACGGCGAATTTATACACCGATCTCCTCCGCCGCTGCGAGCCGACGATCGAAGGCGCGGTCTGATCGCGCGACTATCGTATACCCTGTACTTGTACTCCGCACGGACGTCTTATGAATATAAGGAAATTCTCCGTCGTAAAATGTATCTCTTAAATCGTTAGTTGCTCATTGACTTCTCGTCGAATTAGAATTCATTTTATAGAACCCGACTGTAAAGAGAAACGAGCGAAAGAATAAAGAAGTCGAGAGCGAGACGACGCGTTTTCAAAAGAAACAGGTGATCTCTCTGCTCGATATAAACACTCTCGCGAAGTTCAGCAAAAAATCCCATAAAAGATAAAAGCGCCTGTACGTCTCCTAAGTCCCCGCGTCCAGTCTCCCTCCGCTTTAGCTCGTTAGACTTTCAAGCAGTCGAGCCGAGTGCCCTTCGATTATTCGCGGCGCGGCTCGTCTAAGTCGATCCCAATTAACGAAACATCGAGAACCGAAGTTCCCCGGCGAGTTCCGATGTTTCATCTAGACGGTAAGTTTCTAGTGGCCGTTAGACGTCGACCAAGAAAAATACACGTGGAAATTCTCGAGCGGTTCGCCACTTAATGGAGAGTCGCGGTATTGTCTGTGATCGATTCGCGGAAGTTCGCCCGACGAAGACAAATCGTATCAGAATGGTAAACCGACGCGACCACATTTCCTCTTCTTGCTCGCCCGTCGATTTGCTCGTCGCGATTGAACAACGATCACCTCCCGCGTGGATCGCGATGCGACGAGACAAAACAAACAAACAGTTCCGTCCTTTAAACTCCTCCTTTAGCAGGTGTCGGTTGACCCGCATTTCCCTGCCGACTCTTTCGCATTAACGCAGCCACCGTTACTTGTCTCGCTCTTCTCGCGCCGTGGCCGCCGACGGCTGCAGCTTCCGCGCTACGACAGGCAATTTCATTTAAACTTGTTTGTCCGGCGCGAAAGTTGCCCGTCGGCGGAACGAATCCCGGGCGCGCCGATGAGCCCTGCATCGACATCCATGGAATTATTAATATTAATTTCCTGTATCGGTCGGCGTGCGCGATCGCGCCGGAAAGTTTCCGATCGAATCATCGCGTATGCGGAAAGCGCGCCTGGAATACTAGGATAATCGCTTCAGGGAATATACGGGGAAAAGGTTAATTGCGTTTTGTAGAATTCGCTTCCAGCCGCGACTTCACTGGCGCCGTCGCGACTTGTCGTGATTTCCGCGATTCCAAAGGGGCGTGTGAGTTTATTAACGTCGAAATCCTCTTGATTCTTTGCCGCTCGACGCTTTACGAGCATTCTCTATCCGACAGACTATAGTTCCCGGTACAAAGGCCTGAGAAATGTTTCAATTTAGTTCGGGCGTGTGTAACTATCGCTGATATTGCCATTTCCCGATGTCCTTCCGCGTCGTGGACCGCTCGCGAGAAAATTCGTCGGCGAGTTCGACGCGCCTGTTAAATGTTCCGCTCTTCCCAGTTGGAATCGGAAAAACGGCCGCGCGGGCACGCTCGATACGCGTTTGCTTTCGTCTGAAGTGCTTCGCTCGTATTTATCCGATGCGGGATAGCGTGTACGAAACGTGGAAAAGGAAAAACCGAATGAAATTCGTTTCGCTCGGATCAATTATGCGTCGCGCGACGAAATCCCGCGCGCGCGCGCGCGAGTCGGAAATATCTTGCTGGGCGTGTAAGGAACGTCATTAATTATCCAACGTTTAGTTAGATGAATACCGGGCCTCGGGTTTCAGCGGTCATCCGATCGCGAGGGCAATTAGCCGCTGCACTTTTCAACGGATTAAACTACATCATCGAGATCGTTTGTCTAGCGGGATTTTGAAGCCACGGAAGGGAAGCGAGCGTTCCGAGTCCGGTAGCTTCGAAATCCGACAAAGCTATCATTTATGATGCCCTTAGCACCCGGTAACGGCGCACCGTCGTTGATTACGATGCTAAAATGACGCGTGCGACTTCGTCCGCGCACCGGATCGAATCCGTTGGGTTCCGCGCGGATGTCGATAGACGTCGCGCAGTTCAGTCCGTTCCAAGTTTACTCGATCGCCTCGAACGGCGATCTAATTAACGCCGATGAAAAGCGACAGGTGCACTTACTGTGAAGCTCGATGACAACGGCAGTGGTGAGTGGCAGGGCTAAATGAGTATTGTTCGCCTTGCAGAACAATTTCGCGTGGTAATGACTCCTCGTGAGGCCCTTCAGCGTCACGTTGCTGATGGTCACGACGTTGCTCTCGCCGCCTGGCCCCAGGGTTTCCCGAACCTCCGACGGCGCGTCCATTACATGCGACTCCAGGAACCACGTGACGCGGGGCCTGGGTTTACCTAGATGGAAACAGAGAGATTAACGATCTCGAGACGTTCGAACGGCGCCTTCGATGCGATTCGAAGTTCGGCAACGTCGGTCGATACCGATTCTACGAGATTAACGTTCTACCTTGACCCTTCGTAGTTCACAGTTGATCCGACGGATACGTGAACAATCGAGTTCTCGATATCTTTAAACAGAAGGATTCTGCTACCGGTGTCGAAGTAGCTGTTACTCCGGAGAATTCGAAATTTCATTCGCGACTTCGATGTATGTCGGTCGAATCGTTTACTTCGCCGGGTCGCTGCCGAAGCTCGCGCAATGTAAACATAACGCCGCAACATGGCCGTCACGGAGCCGAAGCGCCGTCGTCTCCCGCGAAGCGCGTCTATCCGACGGAACGCTCCTTGTCGCTTATTCGTGGGAAGCGGGTTGATTGCCGGCTAGGACAATCCGAGTAGTCGGACCAATTCGAACAGACGACGCATCGGGGCTGCGTCCGTGTCTACGGATGTGTATCAGAGGCTGCCGGCTAGTCGTCAATCACGACGCTCGACGGGTCTTACCCGGCTGCAACAATAGCGATCGCAATGGAAACCGCTTGGCGTCCGCTCGTCAATTTATTGGTCCCGATGTACCGCCGGCACCGACACCTAATTTCCCAGGTTAATTATTCCCGTAAACTTGCCGGTCAGGAATCGGCGCACGTCGACGGTCCATAACTGCGCGAAGAAACTGGAGCGATAACGCGGGTGTGTTCTTCCATCGGTATTCGACGTATCCCGCAGAGATGCACGGTTGATTCACGGTTTCCCGACATAATCTCGCATGCTTAACGCTAGATCTACTCAGCTTTTAATAATAATAATTACAACAATAATTACATAACAATTGTTATAAAGGTTGTGGAACGGGGGAAACTATTTCCAAAATCAATTCAGATATCCGATACTTCGAAAACATTAATAATCGCGAAATAAGAAAACGAGAGCCAGTCGTTTCGAGAGACACGGCGTCCCTAGTGTTAATTTAAGAGCACTCTTTTCGACCGAAGTTCAATGGGAATCCAATTTCCCAGCGAAACCCGATCGGCGCGAGCTTCGAATTTATTCAGATACGCGGAAACGCTCGTGGAAGATCCGATTTAATCGTTCCCCCGGTTGACTCGTTGACTCGAGGCGCGCGGCGAGAACGGTGCAACGCACAGCAACAATGGCCTAATCGTAAATGCCTTTTCCCGTTATTCCACAATTAATTTATTCGCGAATGTGGACGCGAAGAACTTGTATGCGGGAACCATGCGCGACTCGCTGATATAATTGTACGCTCGCGAGGATCGAGTTTCTCGCGCGTACCCGAGAACTCGTTTATTCGAAAAGCGAATTATGCAACGGGGGAGACTAGAAACGACGAGTGGAAGCCTGCCGCTGCGAACCAACAAAGACGAGGCATTCTTCGAATGGAAAGAGACCGAGAGAGAGAGAGAGAGAGAGAGAGACAGAGTGAGGGGGGGAAGCCGGGGTAGAAAGGAGAATCGAGGGTGAATGTCACACGCTCTCGACTTTCCGGTTTGCGTCGCGGGGAATTATTTCATTGCCTCTGTGAGAGGCGGAAGTAGAAAAGGTGGAAGTAAGGGAGCCAGGGATTGCCGGGGGAGAGAGAACGAAGATCTTTATTGCTCTCCGGGCTTCCACCTGGTATCACGGATGGCCCAGGTATATATCACGGGGCTCGCGGGTTGGATACGACTCGGTCGTAATAATGTTACACGACGCTGAAGGAGGCACAATAAGAAACGAATTTTAGTGGCTTTCCGCGGTGTCCGCCGCATCTCTACTAGTCGAGATGATTCTATTCCGCGCTGACCCCGCGTTACAACCGGGCAGGCCGCGTCTTTCTCATTCTAATTCGTAAAATCGGATCGACCAGTCGTCGGTGAAGGTACAACCCCTCCGCGACACGGTTAATTGGTTCCGCGTTGTTCGAAACTGTTCTACGAGAGAAATTCTGCTGCTCGCAAGTCTCGTTCCCTGTCGCAAACGTCTTCGCCTTAACGAATGATCGCGGCGATGATCGAGTTACCGCGTTTACACGAGAGTCGCCGCAATTTTTAACCGCAATATCCGAGACCCGGTGTACCTACCTCGAGTACTCTTATTCAAAGGTTGTTCATGCTCGCGGTAGATGTTTCGCAATTAACGCGTCGACGCCGGCGCGCGTCACCGAAAAAGTTGCTGTGAAGTTGAAAATTAATTAGCTGGGAATTACTGGCGATTCGAATAATTCCCCAAGTTCCTCGATGGGCGAAAAGCAATTTACAGCGGCAACGTGTTATTCGGCGCTCTCGCTATCATCGTTCGATGACTGGTTATACAAATAGGGTGCGATTTTTCCGGGGAACCGTGGGCATTTCCATTTTCAGCGTGTATCGCTTACGAGACGGCGCTCGATTTATTTCACCGTGGCCCAACAACGAAGCGCACGCGAACAATGCAAGAGCAATGCAGCACGGCTCGCTCGCTGGCGCGCGCGCGCGCGGCTCCCGTGTACAACACACGCACGGCTAGCGAGTCGCGTTAAAACAAACATTTTACCATGGCTCGCTGCAAAATTGCATTCGCGGTGACAGTCGAACAATGCCGCGGCAATGCGGCCGGCGGGAAAGGTGACACGTGGAAAAGACTGAAGACGGTATATTGTGTGGCAACAAAACCCGATTACAATAGCCGACCCCTCACTCGGACCCGTTAAGCTTCTCGATTGCGCGTCGGTGACCACGGCCCGGCCGGTTCCTCGAGAATTCTGGCGGGCCGCTCGCTTAACGAGAGCTTTACTCATCCTCGTCGATCAGCCTCGCAGCGCTCCACGCTAATACGCCCGTGTCGGGCTTTATTCGATCGAAAGAATTTCAAATCCCGAAAATTCATTTCGCCCTGGGAAGCGACAAATTGCTCCTCCGTAGAACCGGCTGCCGGCGAGCGTGTGCTCTGTAATCTTTCCAAGAGCAGCCCGGAGAAAAGGGAATTCGCGTAACAGAGAGGAAACTCGCAGAAATTTCTTGTCGGATCGAAAAAAGTTCGGGCAGAAGCCGAGTTTCCCGTTAATTTCCTTGATTCCATTATTCAAAGTAATATCGGACGTTTAATGAAAGTTAAGCATTTCGGAAGTTTCCCTCATCCTCGTGGGAATTTTTTCGGATTTCCTCGCGAGGAAGGACGTCCACGTCGACGTCGACGCCGTAAGTCTTTCCCCGCGCTCGTCGCAATTAACGGCTTATGGAAGCACGCGTCCGAGTCCCGTCCCGCGTTCAAGTAGAGAAAACTTTTTAAATTGTTTCGTCCGGGATGACAATTACCTCGCGCTCTTCTTCACGGTTTAACAGTCATCGTCGAGTACTCCTTCTACGTGACACGCGTCGCGTAGGCCGCTTACCCTGATCATCGGCTTAGGTCGAGATTCGTGTCGCGAGAGTGTCAGTCTTTAAGGCTCGATTCACACCGAGTGTTAACCGAACGATCGAACACCGTTGAAGAAACGAGCAATGTTTCCTCGAACAAATTTCATTAACCGTCACCCCGGCCGTTCGCAGTTAGCCGCCGTTATCGATTCGCCGCGGATGTTGCGAGTATTCTAGATAAATTCCGTGTTATTGGATTAGCAGCGTTCATGCCCGGTTATGATTTCACTCGATACGTGTGCCCCGTTGACCGCTAGTGTGAATCTGGCTGAAAACTGGCGCCGCTCCAGAAGATCCATCGCGCGATCCGATACGACGCGAAGCGATGCGAAACGATGCCAGGAGACGCGGACATCCAGCGTCGTGAGAAATCTCGGAAAAACTAGGCTGGACTCTTCTGGCCTCTCTTCTCCGCCTTCCGCCCTCTCCATTCAGCAGTCATCTTCATCCCAGCCCCCTCCTCAGCGTCAAGTTCGTCTACTTCGCTTCGCGCTCGGTTCGAGTACGCGAACGCCGTCTCTAAATGGAATTGGCCTCGCGCCAGTGAATACTCGCGGTTCAAGGAAATAGGATTTCTCGTTCGGTACGCAAGATTCGGAAGACGTTTGCGCCTCTGCAATCTCTTTTCAAGCGATTTACGCGCGATCGCTCGCGCGTAGGGATTTTCTCTGTTGCCAGACGTCGCGGCAGATATTACCGCGCGAACCGGGACCTCGGAATCATTTATCGTAACGCGACGATACCGCGATATTATCCTCCAGAAATAGCTCTCTCTCTCTCTCTCTCTCTCTCGCGAAATTTCAGTTTTCGATTAGCGAAAACGAAGCACGCGTTGGTTACATTCACCTCGTCGCTCTACGCTTTGAGAACGAGCGTCGTCGTTTCAGCGATAGTAAACTGTGCTAGCTGAAGTCGCGAGTCGCAAGGAACTAGTCGAGTTGTTCGAATAACGAAAAATGATTATTCTATGGGAAACCTTTTAACCCTTCGCGGACGAAGATTCTTTGAAATATACGAAACCTTTAGCAGATGAAGGTAAATTATATATTGCTTAAATAATGATAAGAAAAGAAATTATACACTCATCTCTTGCTGTTTAGTAATTGAATCGTTTTTCTGCGAGTTACTCTTCCAAATATGGAAATTTGATTTCGCCGAAATGACACTCGTCCGTAAAGAGTTAATACTCCAAAGAATAGCTGTAATTGCTACATGCTTCCGTTGCTGCTATCCTCGCTGTATGTTACCAGGCAACTTGTCTACCTCGGCAAGATAGTCCAACTCCGTCGCCGTACATTCGTGATCGAGTGTGACGGATGGCCAGTTACAGCGTCCTCGGATCTTTTAAAAGCGCCACACGTCCGCTCATAATAATACGTCCAGCTGATCGGCCGACAGCAATTTTTAAGGATGATCCATTATTCTCGCGATCGGGTTCGGCGACGGAGCGGGATGCGAGAGACTCCCGAGCCATCTTCACACCGATTAATACACGCGCGGCGCGGTGCTACATCAAGCCGCGATAGATTACTTTTCGCAAGAAGAATGGCGAGCTGGGTTTACGAGATTTACGTGCACCGCCGGGGAAGCTGAAGGAATGGCTGAACCGGTGCTCCGCAACGCGTCGGAGATCGATGACACTTAATCTCATAAATACACCGGCCGGTTGACACTCACCTCCGTGAACCTCGCAGACGAGGAACAGGTCGGCCCCTTCGGGATAGGCCTCGAACAGTTTGCTCATGTCCCTCCTCTTGGCGTCGTAGATTATCGGCTTCGACGGCGGCACTGCGAACAGAAAGCAGAGGGAACGTGAGAGCCGCGATACGCTCCGGACTTAGCGTCGAGTGGCTACGATCGAGACGGAGTTCGGCTGGATCGCAACCACCGGCGAACGGAATACCGCGAAGGCGACGCAGAGAAAATAGCTTCCACTAGACGCGAACGCTTCCGCCCTCCTCACCGCCGGCGCTCTTTCATCAACCGGATTGGTTCGCGATACGGCTGCGGCAACCGCAAACAGGCCGAGTTTCATCCCGTCGCGTGCTTCACCGGATGCCGGATGGAAATTGCCTCCGGCCATTGTCGCGACAACGTCGACTGGAAACATACACCTGTTCCGATTTCGCGCCAGCCCGCGCTCGCGACTCCACGACCCCGCCGGCAAAAAAGGAACGCACCAATGTTCGTCGGGGTCTCGGGACGCGGAGCCACTTTCCATATTTCGTGCGTCGCGACGCTAATTTTCATTCAACGATCGAGTTTTCCGCGTTGTTTCCGCCGCGCGCTCGTCGCGACAACCTTCTTCCGGTCCGCCCACTGCGCGTCGGCTCCGTTTTTTCCCGGCCCCTCTCCGACCCGAGAGAGAATGGAAGTTCCCGATCGCGTTCGTTCGAACGGCGGACGTAAAATCGCAAAGCGACCCTTCGCCGGGATCGATTCGTGAAAGCGGGGTATGCACGGGTCTCTCGTTCCGCGTCCTTTCTCCGGAGAACGATTCGCCGCCTCGGCGCCGACCCGTGGCAACGAAAGGAGCGGAACGACGAGCCGGTGCCTGCGAAAGACTCGTCGATCCCCGGAGTCCGTACAACGGACGGACGTCGTAATCTTGGCCGAGATTACAGCCGGGCCGCCCCGCGACGGCGGTTTAGCGCCGCTAATGCCAGCATTCACGACCTTTTATAGCGGGTTTATCCGCCGCCTCGAGACACCGGCGCCCCCCCGCCCCCGCCCACCTCTTTCCGCGCCGGATCCGATGTTCCCCGTTCTCGCTATTGTTCTTCCATGACAATCGAGCCGTTCCCTTACGAAGACGACGTTCTCTTTCCATTGTTCCCGGTCGAACGTTCAATTTTCAGCGAGAATATCCGGTCCACGGACGCGCTCTTTAGCTGTTCCACCGTCAGTCCCGATTCCGCGTAAACGACTCTCCACCTTCGACTCCATTCCTGCCGACCATTCGCTGCCTTCCGAATTTCTTGTTCTTCGATATCGACGAGCTACCGCGCTGTCTCCTCGACGTTATTCTCTGATTGGAGCTTCGGAACGTCTTCGAGCGTTCTCGGGTTCACTGCCACGAGAATCTCGGGCGGAGAGTATTGGAGATTAATATTAACTATCAAACGCCCCTTTTTTTGCTTCGGATTATCAATTTGTGTTATCGAACGTTCTCGTTCGATATCGATCGGCGCGTTTCAATCGTTCCACGACAATTCGATTGGGTCCGCCATCGGTGACCACTGCGACGGTGAACGCGTCGAACCCGGTTCCTCGAGTTCCGTGCCACTCGAGATCAAAGATAAAAGAGCAAAGGAAACGACGAGCCGAGGAAGTGAAATAAGCGAAACTCAGTCATAGCCCACGGCCGCCGTCAAAGCTGATTCAGAGGACATCTTAAGAATTTCTAACCGCGTCGACCCGAACATTGTCGGTGTTTCTTCGTTGCTAGCGCGAGGCGAGGTACTCCGACCCTCTGGCGACTCTCGATCGTAAAGTTTCCTACGCCTAGACGGTCGCTTTACGTTCGACGAAGCACCGCGGCTCCGAGACAGTCTCGAGAATCTAGGAATCGCCTCGGATAAATCGATGTTTGCATACAGCTGGGATCAACTATTCTTTCACGAGCTCCAATACTGCGGCAATCTCGGCGAAATCTGCGAAAATATTTTGAAACCGTGCCTCGACCACGGATAACCCACTCGAGATCGAAGTGCGCTCTTCGGAATTCCCGACATGTTCGATCGTTCCTCGCGGAACACGGAGACCTCCGTCAGTTCCGGGTTAACGGGTTGACCGTCGCGATGGTCAGCGGTGCTCAGCTTCTCCGATTCTCTTGCGAACAATCGCGGTAGGGATCAGATATCGGGTCAAAATCTTTACCGCGTCATTCGTAATTATCTCCAACACCATTTATCCTCGCTACGGGAGAATAGCTTTTTTTATAATTCCAAGTTACGCTCGCGAATAGACCGCCTGTGCGTTTAGTCTATAACATACTTTATATTTTATCGCGCGGGACCGTATCTCCGCGCTGAAAATGCCCGTGGCAGTCGCCTAGTTAACGCGACAGCGTATAGACCGGAGGCTGCGGCGTCTTCGGCTCCGGTGACCAAGAAGTTTCCGGTCCGCGCGACTGGAAGGCAAACGTTCCGACAGCGGCGCGGTCGCACGGCGACGCGTAAACCGCTTGGCCGCGGGCACAATAGCCGCCCCGCAGATCCGGTGAACCGAGAAAATATATTGCTAATAGGGTTTGCAACACGGCCCGTTAGCCGGGAGTAATGCTGCGCCACGGCGGCGGCGGCGGCGGCGGTGGAGGCGCACGTTAAGCTCGTTTAACGAACTCCACTTTCCCACTTCCACTTTCGTCCGCCGGCTCGGCTCGCCCCCCGACGTCGCTGCTCGGACTTTCCAGGAGGCCGATCAGATTTATCGACTTCCAGACTGTATCACGCACTCGTTATTGGACTCCCCCGTTACTCGTTCAGATTTAGTTCCCTCTCGAACCCATTCGTTTCAGCCTTTTTCTTTTAACGGACTTCCCATTGTCCATTACGGATGCGTTTAAACGCAAAGATAAAGCCGAAGCGGAATCAACCAGGTGTGCGGGCTGCTGCAGCACTTTCTACACGCGCCGAAGGACTGCGAAAATCTACTCGCCTCTCGTACAGCTTAGTACGCGAATCGTTCGCAGGCGAAGCGATCGATGCCTTTCGAATTTTCATCTCGCTCGATCGTTTCGGAACAGCCCGTACGTAAGAACGGTAACTCTTCATCGTACGAATATTAACGAGTTCGTGTATCCAGCAAATCCGAAACGAACCGCCGTTTCTCGATTTATTCCCCTTATCGTCGTATACTTTCAGCTTCGCTTCACAGCCATCTTTCAGTATCGCAGCCGAAGTTGGCTCGCAACGTTCGTTGCATACTCGACGGAAACACTGTGTTCCGCATCCACGACTGGACAGTAGTCGGACTATATAAGAGGGAATACGCGAATGGGAATTTCACGGTGGAGTTTCAGTCCCGTCACGTTCGACGGGAGTTCCCCGAGTTCTTCGAGCTGCTAACGTATCGCGCTGCTCCTTATTTCGTCGGCTGCCGTCGCAGCCCCCGCCCCCGTGCCGTGGCTCTTTACGTGCGAGAGCCTGACGCGGTGAACGACGGCTCTTCCAGCGACGCTGGCGGGCGCCAACGCCGCGTCGACGACCCGTTATGCACGATCCGTCTTGCATTTGTTTACTCGTGCGTGTTTGCCCGTTTCTCAGCTACCGAATAACCGGCAGTATACAGTTTCTACACGTTTTCCGAGCGGCGGCTGTGTTACCGGCCACGGTATGCAGGTGCACGGTACATAGACACCGTCGAGCAGCTATCTCTACCTCGCCACGATCCGGATGCACCATTTGCGGGATATTCTCCGACGCTATCGGACCAAGACGTGCTCGACCGCGCACCGTCCTCCTTTCCCGTTCATGGACTCCGACCGTCTATAGATTCAAGCCTGTCGTCTGTTGCTCCCGCAAAGCCGCATTTGTCCGACAACCCGGTGACGATTACCGTGATTCCGATTTTCCTCGTCCTACTTCCATTCACGTTCCGTCGAAAGCTAAACACCGGGCGTTACATCGCCGTCCCGAGATCGTGGGGTTAGCCGGACTCGAGCTGACTCTCCGTTCCCTGGAATCCGTCTTTTCGAAGCCGAGGCTTTAGAACTATGGAAGCGCGCTGCGAAAAATCAGCCTTACTCAAATTTCAACCCTTTGCGCTCGGATGTTTCTTACTAGAAATGTTTACCGTTCCTTTGCGAGGCGAAGACGATATTCTTCGTAATTCGAAGAGAAATCACCGGTACGTTGAGGAACGAGGCTGTTTTATTCGAATGTTACACGTATCGAGGCGTTATACAAAGTGTAGGAGAAAGAGAATTTTATTAGAAACAGTATGATTATTTCTTGACAACTCAGAATAAAACACTAACTAAATCAAACGACGCACACACTATTTATATACTCGGATTCTAGAACATTCTTTCATCGCCATGCATTAACTTCACATGTATTTGGAATATTCTAGATTCATAAAAAAATGAACGTTATTAACATACAGAGAAAATCAATATAATCTAAATATTCCAATGCTTTGAACAGTCATTCAAAACGCATGAATGCTCACACACACAGTCGCGTCATTCATCTATTGCACGTGCATTCATCATTCAAATACATCCATTCCCACAAAAGTTTAACATTAAATATCACATTCTATAGTTTTACCGGGTCAAATCGAGTGGTGGCTGATAGTCTCTCGAGTGCAAAGGGTTAAATGTAGATAGTAACGTGTCACATGTTACCGGATAGTATATTACAATACAAGATTCGTAGGGAACGATCGATACTCGTTCTTATTCGTCTCTGTCGCGAACGAATAAATGATACGCTTGAGGTGCTCGTCGCACGGAACGTGTCAAGGTATCGATTGTTTTTCAGGCGAAACGCGTGCCAGCCGCCTACATTAATCTGGCCATCCCGAGAATCCCGAACTCCGACACGGCCCGACGATGTTCGACGTTGCTCGCGAGGTAAGAAAATATTCGGGCGATTCGCGTTTGTCGAATTCCCGGGGCGCGGACGGTCGCATTCGGATCTGATCGCGTCAGATCCAGCGCAGCCAGGCGGACGGACGGACGTCCGTGTGAGCGTGTGCACCGCGGCACGTTGAGTTACAGCAGTCCGCTGTTGCACGACAGCAACCATCCCCCGGGCGCGTCGGTGACTGGCTGCGTGACT